TTTTTTTTTTTTTTTTCTTTTTTTTCTCTTTTTTTTTTTTGTTTAAGTTTAGGGATTGATTTTGTTTAAAATTTGACTAATTTATCAACTAAATTGCCATTGACCCTTTTCTTATTAAATGCATTAATGGCACTGTCAAACCTTTAATAGAAAACTTTATTAGAGGGCTGATTTTGCACCAATTGTAAAGTATGAGGGCTTAAGTTTATGCTTTCTAGTTCAAGGCTTACAAGTTAATATGAGGCAAGTTTGAGGGTTTAATGCCGGATTTTGCCTTCTTTGAATCCCTATAAATATTCGTTTAAGATCAGAAGGCTTTTGGAGTTCTTTTGGGAGCTCTTTCAAGTTTTCTTTTACCCTTTTTGCACACTATTGGAGGCTAAGTTAGAGGCAGAAACAATTTATTGACAATAAGAGAATAAGAAAGTTAATATCTTCAAAATGGGTTACACATTTTTTGAGTTTTATTTCTTTATTTGGCATGGGTTCTTAGTTTATAACCATGACTTAAGATTTTATTATTTTTATTATGTTTTTATAAAGTCAAGTAAGGCTATAATGTAACTAATCAATTTGATATAGATTTTTATATTTTTAATGCATTTGAAATTGTTATTTTATAATTAGTATATATTATTGTTCTTGATGCTTGATCATCATAATATATATACTATGAATTAAATGAAACTCAAAGATGGACCAATGTGGTTTGCTCAACATTAGTGATAGTTGGACTTAAAAGTCTCTACATAAATTAGGAAATTTCACAGAATATAATATATATATTTTTTGAAATTTATATAGAGATATAATAAGTTAATAGGTGAAAATAGTTTTTTTTTTTTTAATATGAAAAACAGAATTTCATTGATATATAAAAATTATAAAGGTTATGGGATCAACACAAATGAGATAATATGACAAAGGTATTATACTTAAAAAGTGCATGAAAACTCAATTAAATAATCTAATGCCTACATGAATATCACAATTAGACTCAAACTTGAGATATAGTAGTTAAATTGCATTCTAGTACAATCCATCTAAATAAAAGATAAATTGGTTTTGGTGTAGAAAATTTTCAAAGAATTTAGTTAGTGACTTTGTTCCCAACCATGGCTTCAATTGTCGAAACAAGAACAACAATTGATTTAGGTCTAACTAATATTGTGATCAAGTTGCCATCCTCTTTAGACAAGAGCAAATCTTGATAAAAAGTATTGAGAGAGGCAAGGCAAAAAGCCTCAACAAGAGAGAGAGAGAGAGAGAGAGAGAGAGAGAGAGAGAGAAACCTCCATAAAAGAGGAAAAAAACCACGCAAGAAAGAAGAGAACTCTAATTTTTAACCATTCACCCTAATCACCAAGGGAGAGAAAGGTAGCAATGGCTAGGGAAAGTGAAGATAAGTTTGATAAAACTTAAAAAAAATATCAAATAAGATAGTAAATCTTGCAGTCAGATGAGTGGTAAATATTTTAAAACATAATAATTTGAAATCTACATTGATTGGTTATAATGAAGTTAGATGCCTTATTACCTCATATCTTAGTGAATTTTAAATTATTATTTTTAATTATTTCAATTTGAAAATTTTCTCTTTTATTTGTTCAAATTATTCTAAATTTAATTATTTTTTATACTTAGTGAATTATATTTTTCGTGGAAATGATACTCTATTAGTCACTTTATCACTTGCGTAATGAGTGCACTTGTAATTTCAGCACATCAAGTCCCTTAACCCAAATTCACCCAATCAACATAGTAGACAATATTTCCTCCATTTATTTTTAGTAGCTTCAATTTTAACTTTTCAATTATGAATTTTAAATGAAAATTTAACAATTTATATGAACAACAATTGAAATTTCTTTTTCTTATATGTAGTTCTTGTTAAGTGTTTTTATTTGATAAAAAATTAGCAGTTATATAGTATGTTAAATTTTCATAAAATTCATGTTAAAAAATTAAAAAATCAAAATAGAACTATTAAAAATGAATAAAGGGAGTAATTGGAAAGATTTCACCTTAAGACGGCGGGAAGTTAAAAAGGATCCTTGAAGAGAGTAGATGGTATTTAGATTAATTACAATGACACTGATAACTACATATTTTCATTTAATACATTATGTAATATGTTTATTAAAAAATTATTAGTTTATGATTTAAAATTAAAAACAAAATAAACACAAAAATGTAATAATGCATACAAAATATAAAAATTAATTGTAATTATATTATATTTTAATAATTAAATTGAGATAAATATTAAAAAATATATTAAATTGAACGTGTAGTAATGATTTTGTTTACAACTTATACTAGAAAATAAACACAAATATTTCATTGTTGCATTTCCACTCAAGAAAATCTTCCACAAGACATTCTAGAAAGAATAGAAATACTGACAACATATGGGGGCCAGACAGTCTACCATCGTTCCAAATTTATGGAAGACGTAATGGGATTCACAAGTATTGTTTTTTATCCCTTTTCTCCTCGGAGTTTTATTTTGAATTTGAAATTTTATAGAAGAACAAGCCAACAATGCATGTCTTTATGAAAACAGGCACATGTCTAAATTTCCAGGATATGAAAAAACACAAAGAGGAGGAGGGAACTAAGAAATCGACAATCACTTGTAACATTGGTGGATATTGAGGAGGAAGAAGAATGATGCCTTGAAGTTGTAGAATTAGCTCCATTTTCTTTTGAACATGAAAAGTCATACCGGCTTGGTCTTGCAACCCTATAGACGTCTGTGCTTGTGAGAATATGAAGATCCTTATTATTATCTTCAACAAATGAGATGATGTATCCAAGAGAAGGCAAAGAACATGCGATTGGATTGTCATTAGCGCATTTGAATGGAATTCTAGCAATGGTGAAGTTGCCACTGTTCACAAGGTATTCACTGCTAGCCCATAAAGCTCCCCCGTACAAATCCATGTCTATGTACCTAGAAATCTCATTGATGAGCATGGTGATGACTAAATGGGCATAAAGGAGGGGAAGAAATAAAAATAATTAAGACCATTTTAGAGCTTGCTAACCTTCCATACATGCATGGATCTGTCAAGGACCGATAGAAATATCCACCCGTTATTGAAGCCGAACCAACATTCTTATCAATCTCAAAATGGAAATAAACCATTACAAGGAAGATGGGGTTTATGCAACTTGGAGTGGTAGCCGGTTGAAAAGGAATTGGGCCTTTGTAAACACGCCATCCATAGTTTCCTCCCTTTGTGACTAGATCAACTTCCTCATATTGGTCCTGTTAGAGGAGGAGCAAAAGATGCTTTGTTGGGGCAAACTAGCTAGTCATAAATGATAAAACCTAGTAAGATATGATCTCAGTGGCAAAAAAGATAACATATCTGAAAAAGTAATGAATAGATAAGCACTTGTTTGAAAAGAAAAATAAATGTTAATAGAAAATTAAAATTATTGTCTCCAAACTTGACCAATGTCACCGTAGAAGAAGTAGGAAGGTTTTTCTGAATCAAAACTACAGCGCCAGGGATTTCAAAAACCTATGGCCCAAATATATCTCCGGTGCCAGTTCCTTGTCTTCTACATATGGATTATCTACTATAGAGTAGTTTCCCCATAAACCGAGTTTGTTTATTTCCTTTGCACCTAGTCCTCTTGGCAAGACAGTATGAGATAAATTAACATAGTAATATTTTAAATCACTCATGCTGAGTTTCATGAACTCTTGGATACTTTATGAAGGCTAAGAATATTATTTCCTAATCTTATAATATAAGAATGTTTTTGACAAAATAACATATTTGCATCATAATCCTAATATATATCTCAGTATTGTAGGATGATTACAAGTATTTTATAAAGAGCCGAATCAAATTCTTTTTTAATATATGTAGCAATTGGAGCAAAAAGCAAGAGTTATAGACTAGTAATAGATATGAAGAGTATGAATTGAACAATTTCTGTATAATTGCTTGAATTGAATATATTTTGCTTTCTGGCCTAAAAAAAAATTGAAGAAGAAGAATATATTCTGCTTTGATGTTATAAAGTAATTTTTATATCATTTTTGACTTCCAATCCCCCATTTTTTAGGTGTTAGTAAGGGATTAATTTAAGTTGATATTAGAACAACAAATATGACTACATAACTACGAACTATATAAGCATGAATTAACCAAGTCTATGCATCTATGTATCTACAAGCAAGCTAAAGGGAACAAAACAGTTTATAATTCTAGGGAGAAAAAAGGAAGTCACTTCACAAAGCTTTTATGGTCAATTATTACTTGGCATGCTGTCTATGTCTAACCTTAGGATCTTTCCAAGTAGGGATTTCTTGTTCTGAGCGAAATTGTAAGGATCATCCTTGTTTGAATCATCACCCATTGTAAAGTACAGAAATCTATAGAAAAATATTGCCTTTCCTATTATTGATTTGTTGAATTTTTACAATATATATACAACATTCTAATAGTACAATGCAACGGCTAGAATAAACAATTAATTGCCAATTAATTACTTTTTTGTAATTCCTTCCTAGAATCAAGGGATGACCTTGATATGCTGCAATTGATATGCTGTGATGGCTGTGCTGATGTATATGCATTTAATACCCCCCGGTCAAGTTAGAGCATGTAAGTTGTAGATGCCCAACTTACGTAGAAGGAACTGAAATTGCTCTTTTTCCAATGCTTTGGTGAAGATGTCAGCAATTTGGAACCGAGACCGAACATGTGAAGGTGAGATAACACTAGCTTGTATCCAATTATGAATGAAGTGGCAGTCGAGTTCAATGTGCTTTGTTCGTTCATGGAAGACTGGATTGGTGACAATGTGTAGAGCAGCTTGGTTGTCATAATATAGTCTAATCGGCTAAGGAGGATGAACTCCTAAGGTTCAAAACAGTGCCTTTAGCCATAGTAGTTCACTAACAATGCATGCCATTGCTCTATACTCAGCTTCAGCAGAGGATCTTGATACAATAGTTTGTTTCTTAGTTTTCCAAGAGATTGGGGAGTTGCCGAGCATGGTGATGTAACCTATAGTGGATTTCCTTGTCATTGGGCAACTAGCCCAATCAGAGTCACAAAAGGCAGAGAGGTGAAGTGAGCTTGTTGACAGTAAGAAAATGCCTTGGCCTGGGGAAGATTTCAAGTAACGTAAAACTCTTATGGCAGCATCCATGTGGGGCTGTTTGGGTTCCTGCGTAAATTGACTTAAAATATGAATAGCATAAGATATATCAGGTTGAGTTATAGTCAAATAGATAAGTCTTCCAATGAGTCGACGGTATTGTATAGGATTAGAGATGGTGCGACCCTCATTCTTGTTAAGTTTGAGCTTTTGCTCCATTGGAAATTTGCAAGGCTTAGCTCCTAGCATCCTTGATTCTGTCAAGATATCAAGGGTGTATTTCCGCTGACAGAGAAAAATTCCAGATGGATGTCGAGCAACTTCAATTCCAAGAAAATATTTTAATTTTCCTAGGTCCTTAAGGTGGAAGTGGGCATGCAGAAAATCTTTCAAACTCTGACAGAGGGAAGAGCTTGTACCTGCAATAATTAAATCATCGACATAGACTATAACTGCAAGAAAATTATTTCCATGATTGTAAGTAAAGAGAGAGTAATCACTTAAAGATTGTTGAAAATTGAAAGATTTTAAAGTAGAAGCAAATTTTGCAAACCAAGTTTGAGATGCTTGTTTGAGCCCATATAGGGATTTTCATAGACGACAAACTCATTGCTCTCCTTGATGACCATAATCGGGAGGCAATTTCATATAAACTTCTTCATCAAGGTCACCATGTAGAAAGGCATTATGTACATCTAATTGATGTAGTTCCTAGTTGCGGATAGAAGCCACAGCAAGCAAACAACGAACAGTAACTAATTTAGCGACTGGGGCAAATGTGTCATGATAGTCAATCCCTTTAACTTGAGTGAATCCTTTTGTGACTAGGCGAGCCTTGTATCTCTCAATTGTACCATTAGCATTGTATCTTATTTTGTATACCCACTTACAACCTATAGGTTTCTTATCAGGAGGTAGCATCTCCAAAGTCCAAGTGTTATTTTTCTCGAGAACATCTATTTCATCTTTCATTGCTTGTCTCCATTTGGGATCTTGCATGGCCTGAGAAAAGGATTGTGGCTCATCTTCGATAGAGATGGCAGCTAGAAAAGAGCGGTGAGATGGACTCAATTTTTCATAGGAAACAAAATGAGTGATCGGGTGTTGTGTACCTGGAATTTTTGTTGATTCACTTACTGAAGTTTGGACCCCATTCAAGATGTAATCAATGAGGTAGGCAGTGTCTTTTTCTCCCGTTGAGGCCGATGTATTTCGCATTGGGAATTATTTTCATCATGCCTCCAAATGGCTTATACGCCATGCTCTAGCCCATTCATGTCGCATGGGTTCTCACATGATGGGGCTTGATTTGGTGCTGGTTGCAGTGTAGTATGTTCATGAGCTAGGTTGGTGGAGGGGCTTGATTCTTGTTGCCCATTTAATTTGGCACATGTGGAATGGCTCTTTGTTGCTAATCCATCATCTTCAAAAAGAATTGTTTGCGGGATCCCAATTGTTTGTTGAGAGTTTAATTGCTGTAAAGGAAACATATTCTCATAGAAAACAACATCACGAGAGATAAAAATGCGATTAGTGGTCAAATCAAAAACACGATATCCTTTCTTACCTTGTGGATAACCAATAAAAATGCATTTTGCAGATCTAGGAAGGAATTTATCATGTGATATAGGGTCATGAGCATAACATAAACAATCAAATACTTTAAGATGTGTGTAAGATGGAGACTTACCAAAGAGAAGTTCAAAGGGAGTCTTACCATCAAAAAAGTGGTGTAGGCGTGTAATTGATGAGATATGCAGCTGTGAGTACACATTCTCCCCAAAAAGAGATAGGTAAATTGGCTTGAAAATGCAATGCTCTTGCCACATTCAAGAGGTGTCTATGTTTTCGTTCCACTACTCCATTTTGTTGTGGTGTGTAGGCACAAGTGGTTTGATGCATTATGCCTTGAGCGTGGAAAAAATCCTGCATAGGTTTAGAAAGAAATTCTTGTCCATTGTCGGACCTTATTTGCTTAACCTGCAATCCAAATTGTGTTTTGACCATATTGATAAACATGATTAAATAACAATAGACTTCATATTTGAATTTTATAAGATATACCCATGTAGCATGACTAAAATCATCAACAATGGTAAGAAAATAATAAGCTCCAGAATGAGAAGGAGTTTGATATTTGCCCCATATGTCACAATGAATTAAAAGAAAAGGTGATTCAACTCTCTTATTACTAAGAGGAAAAATATTCCTAGTTTGCTTTGCTCGATGACAAGCATCGCAACATTCAAGAAAAGTCTTAAAATCAAATGAGACTTTATTAGATAGAAAAGAAAGTCTATCAAACGAAGGATGCCCCAATCTTTGGTGCCAAAGCTCCATCGAAGGTGGGGTAGTTACATTCGAAATAGAAATTGCTTTCAAAGGCTTGAAATAATAAAGACCATTACGCATTTCACCCATCCCAATCAAGTTCCTCGTTGTGAGGTCCTGTAATATGCAAAAGGTTAGTAAGAATATTACAACACAATTTAAATTTTTAGTTATCTTGTTGACAGAGATAAGGTCACAAATAAATTCAAGAATATAAAGAACATTATCAATAGTAAGATTTGGTGCAAGGGAAACTGATCCCATGCTTTGAATTGGAACAAATTTTCCATTTGGAATTTTAGCATGTTGATTGGAATTTAAATGATGTATGTGCTTAAATTTATATTTGCAACTACTAACATAATCAGATGCACCACTATCCAATATCCAATCACACAAGTTCATGAACTTCTTACCAGAAAAGTCATTTAAGGAGGGCTTCTTTTTAGTACCAAGTAATGAGATCAGTTGGTTCACTTTATCTTGAGTGAGTCCAGAAATCATAGGTGCAGCATCTGTGGATACTTGTGAGACCTGGTTCATGGCTTTGAAATTCCCTTGTCTTGGAAAAATACACCTTCTATCCTTCTGGTTACTATCCATCTTGATCCTTGTATTATTGTCCTATTGTCCATCTCTTGGTGGGTATCCTATCAACTTGTAACATGTCTCTTTGGTATGGCCTGACTTCCCACAATGATCACACAATTTTGGATTTGCACGAGGCTTTGATGATGAACCCATGGCATCAAGCTGATTTGCATGGTGATTTGGATGTGATCTCACATTGAAAGCAGCAGCTTCTACATTTGTTGGTCATGAGGCACAAAGAAAAATTTCTCTTTCTTCCCATGTAACTCAGGCATATGCTTTGCTAATGTTTGGGAGGGGTTTTGTACGCAAAATATGAGATCAAATACTACTAAAATTATCATTAAGTCTAAGAATAAATTGATGTACCTTTTCCTCCTCCCTTGCCTTCAAGAAATCCTTAGCCGCTCCACAAGTGCAATCTAGAATCGGAGAGTATGAATAAAGTTCATCCCATATGGATTTGAGTTTGGTATAGTAAGCAGCTACAGAGAGATTCTCCTGATATGTGACAGCCAAGGCCTTCTTTCATTCATGTATTTTAGGTGCGTTCCCTTGAGAAAATCTTTCCTTCAGATTTATCCATATCTCTTGAGCAATGTCTGCATAAGCCATGCTCCCATGTAATTTAATTGAAAGAGAGTTATATAGCCAAGAAATCACCAACGAGTTGCACTTTTCCCAGTGATTGAGATCTGCAGATCTATTGGACGGACAAGACAAGGTTCCATCAACAAAGCAAAATTTGTTCCTTGCCCGAAGAGCATTAGTCATAGCTCTCACCCAAGTGGAGTAATTTGCCTCATTTAATGGACTAGAAACCAAGTTTAAACCTGGATGATCAGAGGAATGGAGGAAATAGGGCGAAGAGGAATCAAGTACAAGTAGGCCTTGGGTTTGTCTTTCTTTGCCTGAAACTTTGCTGGGAGCAGTAGCATTTTCCTCACCCATTGTAATGGTGAGGTCAGGTTTTTTGAAAAAAAAAAAAAAGGAGTTTAGGGATCAATGCTCTGATACCATATAGAAAAATATTGCCTTTCCTATTATTGATTTGTTGAATTTGTACAATATATATACAACATTCTAACAATACAATGCAACGGTTAGAATAAACAATTAATTGCCAATTAATTGCTTTTTTGTAATTCCTTCCTAGAATCAAGGGATGACCTTGATCTGCTGCAATTGATATGCTGCGATGGCTGTGCTGATGTATATGCATCTAATAAAATCCATCTGCAGGTCCAAAGAAAACTTTGTCCAGCATGAAATCTGGTTGGTAGACCCATTGTGAGTATCCTTCTCACCTCCAATGGATTTGCCTTTTTTGACTATAGAGAACAACCATGATGAAATTCCATGGGAAACATATTGTAAGCAGTTTCAAAACCATACCACCAGTGAAGTGTGGATGTACATGTGCCATGGAAGGCTTTAGTGCCGCATTGTTGGCAGTATATTCTGCTATAATATTATGATACTGGCACGGCTGGACACCATTATCAGCAACAAGCTTTGCTGGATCACATTTCACATCTGTAGTACATGAACATCTCCCAAAACATCCTGGCTGTCTCATCTTATCATAGCTGAATGACAAAAAGAAACGGCCGTTCTGTTCAAAGTTTGGATGGAATGCCATGCCCATTAAACCAAGCTCAGTATCGAGAAGCACTAAATTGGTTACATCTAGAAATGGTTTAGACTCAACAACATCCAAAACATCACTGGATACCAGGAACATCTGCCAACCATATTTTGCCCACTTGGTTAGACAAGAACGCACGGTTGGAGCCATCAGGAAGTGGTACAAAATTAATAGAAGCTCCATTCCCAATTTTCTCAAGGCATAGGCCCTCCAGAAGTTGAGGAGCCTCTTCACTGTTAAAGGAAACTAATTTACCATTGAAACAAACAAAGGCTTCATCTGAAGTTCCACCAAATGCTTCACAAAAGTTTGTCCTAGATTTCCATTGATTAGCTAATTTGGAAGGAGAGGAACTTAAGCTCCTTCGTCCACTGTCTTGTAATGACCGAGCAAATAGGGAATTCCATATGGAAATAGTCCCACATTCATTCCATACGTGCAAAAATCAATTGAAGTACCACCATTGGACTGATTTGATTTTAGTGAAAATGTAGAATTGCAAAGAACAGGAACATTCTAGGGCCTGAACTGGTATTAAATAACTCAGCAGAAAACTGATTACATATCAGAAAAGCGCAAATAAATAACTATTAATAGAGAGATATGATATGAAGTACCGATTATTTGTCAACTTTTGTAATTCAAAATTTTAAGTTCTTTATTTACATTCGATTTAGATCATTAAACTTATTGAAACTTAAACTCTTGAGGGTCTAGTATATGAGATTAATGGGTACCAACTAGTATTTAAAGAAATTAAATGAAAAAATATTTTAAAGTTACCTTATTTTAATTAAGTATTATAAAAAAATTAAAATAAACTTGTTTTTATTTTAAAAATTAAGATGTTTTAATTTTTTTAATGAATTTTATTAAAATAATATAATTTTGTAATTTTTTTTACTTATTTTTTATAATACAAGTTGATACTTATTTCTTGGCAGTATATACATCTAATTTACTGCAACTGTATGGCTGATAAACAGCAGTGAGGGAAATATGACATTTAAATTCTTCACAATATTTG